ACAGTGAGGCTGAATACTTCTCCTCTATGTTTGAGGGTACTCGCAGGAACACAAAATACTACCGAAACAGTAGTTGTTGCTCTGTCTCTGGACCTCACCACTCAACAGAAACACGCTGTCGCTCTTTGAAGCTGGTGCAGGTGTTCCCTTCAGCTCAGTTGCAAACGGCGAGGAGAGCTGACTGATGTGGCCTGTGGTCCCTGGGTAACGTTGACAAAAGCACTTGTATGACAGGTGTTTAAATTCCACTGACTGTCCAAGGGATGTAGGTGCTTAAGTTGGTGATTCCCGAACTGCAGTTGGCATGCCTCTGGTGCAACTCTTGGTAAAAGTATTTGAGTTCAGGCTTTTAGCTAAACACATTAATGAAAGAGGGACGTCACAGTCTGTAAGAAACACGGAAGATTGCTGGATGTCTGTGGCCAAAAATGCTTGGCAATCTCTGGTCTAAACCACTTAAGTGTTCTTTGAAAATATTACCCTTTTACTGACAGAACTCTTGTTTCTGTTTAGTTGAAGCGATGGAGATGAGGACAGTTGCTGATGTTGCTAAAAATAAAATACACAATCACTAAACTTCGATATGCCAATAAACATGTTCCCTGTAATTGCAAGCATTTACTTGGTCTGTGTTAATTTACAAATGTGTTACTTGGCTTATTAAAAATAAAGGTCAGCACTCTTACATTGTTTGTCCTTGTAGCCACAGGATTGGTAACTAGTTGCTCTATGTAAAAGCTGATTACTAACAAAATACTCTGCCCTTTGCTGCTCTTTCATGTTTACTTCCTGTTTTTCCTGTTATTTACCTAAGATACAGCTTAATATGTGTGTAAAACGATGAAAACCTGAAGAACTGAAAACGTTCAGGTATTAGAAACTGCGTCTCCAGTGTGTGTGTGTGTAAAATGATTTGTTTATCCGTCCCTACGCCTGCGGAAGTTGGTACTTCTCTCACTGTGAAATGATGCGCTCAGCTGAGTGCGAGCACTTCCTGAACCTCAGCGAAGGGCGAAGGCTCGTGGGCAGGAGTGATAAGCAGCTGGATTTGGAGCGTTAACCGTTGCTTTGTTTAAACCATGCACTTGTCCGCTCAGCTGCTTCCTCAAGGGTCAGAAATGAGTCAGTGCACTAGCCTCATCCTACACAAATTTTCACATATGTGCCTGAAATGACTTTTCCTCCGTCTACCAAATACTGCATAGGTTAGCTTCAAGCACGGATAGAATTTTTTCAGAAACAGGACATGATTTAAAAAGCTAGCAAGTCAGCACTAGCTTGGGCCGTGTCCCTGAGAAGCTTTAGCACCGCAAACTTTGTGGCAGTCGGGTGGCATTAATGCCTTGCTGTGAGATGCCGCCTCACCTGCGGAGGTTGCACACAAATATTGCATGTTAATCCTTCAAGGAGGTTATTCAGAATGTAAGTTTGACCAATTACTGCCATGTTCGTGTAACAGAGTGACTAGCAGTTTTAGCTCAAGCCTCCATTTTTATAAACTTAGTAAAAACAAATCCAAATTTTTGGCTTGAGTTGTAGATGGTTTCAATGATTTCTAATAGCATGGTGTTTGCTTTTTTTTTTTTCCTTCCCCTTGCACAGTGCCAGCTCTTTTTTGCTTGAGTTGTAGGTGGTTTCAGTGATTTGTAATAGCATGGTGTTTGCCTTTTTTTCCTTCCCCTTGCACAGCCATAAACCTTCATCTTTTCTGGCACTGTATGGAAGTGAGAACTTTGAGAAGACAGCTGGGGGACAAAGCTCTTCTGAAGCTAGCAGCTCTGATTTGCAGTTTTTCTAGTGTTTGTCAGCCAGAGGCCTTGCAGGGACAAGGTGGGAACCCTTCCTCTGGGGAGAGGAAGGGTGCTCAGGTGTGAGCGTAGCCACATCTTCTCTCTGGGATCGACCAGGGGCTGTGCCTCAGACTCTGAGTCTTCCCCAGGGAAATGCAAGGTTGCTCATCTGCTACTGGGAAGGGGAATACAAATACACAATTTTGAATTACTTGATGTTACACCCGGGTGGGGAGGTGCCCAAACAGTTACTGCTGCAAAGGTCACAGCTTGGTTTTGTGTTGCTGCACCTACTTGGTGTATCCATACATCTAGGTGCTGAGCCACTGATCTTTATAAATGGGATTGTGACCACAAGGCAAACCATTGCTTTGCTGTTCTGGTACAGCTGAGGTTTTTCTGACACACAGGACCCTGCATGGTTTGCTTGGGGTATTTTTAAGGCATGCTTAATCAATCTTCTAAAAGCAGAAAGTGAGGAATTGCAGTAGCATTCCAAAGGTAGAAAGAAACTTAGGAAGCAAGATGACTGGAAACTGTGATAGATGAGCAGGGCAAGAGGACTTTCTGACAGCCCCTCGGTGAGGCCAGTTCACTGACAGGGTGGTGAACAGCAAAGCGTTTCAGTCTGCGTTTCTAGAACTGAACCACGAGTCGTATAGCTGCTTTAAGCTGCACTTGGAAGGTGTACGACATGCAGTAGAGAGCTGCTGAATGGAACAGCCTACAGAAGAGCATCTGGGACAAAAAGCAGAATCCCTTGCTGCATGGCTGGCACCCTCTGTAAACACTTTGAGCAGCTTTCATTGCTAAGACAAATTAAAATGTAGTTGGATAGAGAAGGGTAAGAGAGTAGGACTGTTGTCAGAGGAGGTTTGTAGTTTTCAGTCCCATATACCTTCCAGTCTACCCAGACTGTATCATAGCATGGAGAAAGGGCTTGTGTGGCGCTGAGCAAATGGTTGAATATATGTCAAGCAAAGTAGGTTATTTCTAGTTGTGTTCAGACTCTATGGAAGCATGACAAGGAGCTAGAAGGTCTAAGCCCAAATGTCCAGGGAAATTTTGCAGAAAGGCTGGAGGCAGTCACATATCTCCTTTAGCTGGAGGTCAGTTCTGCAGTCAGATAGGTAGACTACAGAATAAGTACTCCAACTGGGAATAGCATGTCTGGAGCCAGAGGTATCTGAAAAATGTTCAAGATTAATTAACATGAAACCAGTCCAACAAGAATACTAGAAACTGGTGAAAGGCTGACACTGGGGAGGAGCTTAGTTTGCTGCCAAGCACAGTTGTCTTCAGGGAGATGGCACACTACAATAGTAGCATACTTACCATAGAATCATGGAATGGTTAGGGTGGGAAGGGACCTTAAAGCCCATCTAGTTCCAACCCCCCTGCCATGGGCAGGGACACCTTCCACTAGATCAGGTTGCTCCAAGCCTCATCCAGCCTGGCCTTGGACACTTCCAGGGATGGGGCATCCACAGCTTCTCTGGGCAACCTGTCCCAGGGCCTCCCCACCCGCGCCATGAAGAATTCCTTCCTGATACGTAATCTAAACCCCCCCCCTTTCAATTTAAACCCATTCCCCCTTGTCCTGTCACTACAGGCCCTTGTCAAAAGTCCCCCCCAGCTTCCTTGTAGCCCCTTCAGGCACTGGAAGGCGCTATAAGGTCTCCCCCGGAGCCTTCTCTTCTCCAGGCTGAACAAGCCCAACTCTCCCAGCCTGTCCCCATAGCAGAGGGGCTCCAGCCCTCTGAGCATCTCCGTGGCCTCCTCTGGACTCGCTCCAACCGGTCGATATCCTTCTGATGCTGAGTGAGAGAGCTTGGGAAACAAGGCATTAAGAAAGTACTCGGTGACTGGGGATGCTTCTAGCTCCTCTCAGAATGGTTCAGTATTTTGCAGTCTGCAGAACAACTTGTTGCTTGGTATCATAACTGAGGGTGCAATGCCTTGGTGGTTGATGCAGTCTTCTGACCAGCTCCGGTCTGCTGGGCATAACTTAGACGTTGTCCTTTCCCACATGATACTAGTTCCTTCTTTTACCTTTGAGCATGTCGTGGGGGTGTGAATAAAAAGCCTCTGGCCTAGAAATATCCCTGTCTCTTTTCAGGAACTCTATTTTCCAAGTATCTGGAGAATGTAATGGCGTGGCCAATGTGATACAGTGCTATTGTTTGACTCCTAAGTAGGAAGACTTGTTGTTTTGGTATTCCTGTGCTGCTGCAGGCGCTGATGCTTTGAGGTACCCAAGGTAGCTCAGTTTCTGCGTAGCATAGTTACCTCCTTAATGTAGTCGCTAAGACTGCAAGCTGGGCAGAAGCAGTCCTGGCTGCAGTTTGTACTGCTGGAATTTGATGCCAGTCCAGTGCTAGTCTCTTGTGAAGCATTTAACCCAAAATGCTCCCAATGCTGCTGTAGTCCTCCTGTCTTCTCTTTCTGGAGATCTTTTGCACGTTGACTAAATCTGAAGCAGAGAATCTCTCTTCTCCTACATTCCCTCACCGTTTAGGAAGGGGCATACCCTGATGGATGAGAGCACTCCTGATGTATGAGTGTCATCAGGCAGAGGAGGGACTTGGGATACTGATTTGTAATTCAACTTGGATAATTACTCAACACAGTATGGTTTGAGCACCCTGACTCTTAAGCATCCTGGTATATAAGTTATTACAATTTTGGGAAAAAGTCTGTAGGTGTTTTGACCTTCCCTTGGGAACTGTTATCAGTTAGACATTCTCTGAGCAAATCTGCTGTGTTGGGACCCTCTGGAGACTTTGAAAGACATTCAGCTTACATGTTCCAAGGCAGTAGTCATTTTCTGTGCTCTCATAAGGGATTTTCAGAGCAAAAGGGTCAGATCAGGGTTTGGCTCTGATTGTGCTGTTACTGACTAGGTAAGGTCTGAATATTGGTTTTGGACATTTCCTGTCAATGTGTGTGCTTGGGGAGGGGATTTGCCTTGGAAATAGCATGCCCACCTCAAAGGGGTTACACAGTTCGTCATTGTGGAAAATGTCGTGACAAAAGCAGCCCTTGTCAGTAAGTACAATGGATGCATTGTGGATGCTGGGTAAATTCCTGAAAGGTGGTCCCAAATAAGAGGAGTTTTCTAGGCTGGGATACTTCTTGAATTGCAATAGGTGCTACTTCTGGTTTGTTCAGTGTGCTGAAAGAAATGTTTGTTTTTGCTGTGCTTTGTAGGCGGAACCTGACAAAGTTATCGCTGATATTCAGTCACATGCTGGCAGAACTCAAAGGCATTTTCCCAAGTGGCCTTTTTCAGGGAGACACGTTCCGGATCACCAAGGCAGATGCTGCAGAATTTTGGAGAAAAGCTTTTGGTGAAAAGTAAGTTTCTAAATGTGCTTAAAAATAGAGATGTGGGAACAAACTGCGCACAGCACTGTGTATTTTTAAAGATTCTGTTTTGCGGTTCAGAAAGGTCTTTGTCAGGTTAATTGTAGAAACGAACGATGGCAGAGACCTGCTAGTCATTTGGCTCATTCTCTGGGTAGGATACAGGATTGTTCCTACATTTTATTTCCCAGTTCTTTGGCCTGTCTTGTTTTAAATGTATGAAGTGATGGGTCTTTCCCCAGGAGACACTTGTACTATCACAGTTTCCCTTGATTATTCATCTTAAATTTTCCTCTCCTTAATTTAATTCCTTAACTTGTAAGTAAGCGCCATGAATTATGCAAAACAATCTGCTTTCTTCTTCCAAAGGTAACCATGCCCCCAGTATTAGCTGTCCTCTAGCTAAATCATTATATTAAATTCTTTTAATCTTCTGTCCAATGAGTCTTTCCAATCACTTGCTCACCTTTCTTCTGGCTTCTCTGAACGTTTCTTAGTTTGCATAATGGTTTTGGTAAGATCGAATGAAAGAGAAAGTGATGTGCAATGTGTATTTGCATGCTGACTGTTGCAATGTCAGTTTTAACTTCCGTATCGAATAAAACACCGACTAAATGAACTGTAGAGGTGTCCACAGCAAGGTTTGAGGATTGAAGTAAACAGAATTGGGTGCTGCATTCTAACTAAGGTAACTCACTACTTCCCTTAAAGAGTGTAATTAGTAGCTGTCAGAATAAAAAGCAGTAGTATATTATGACACGCTTGTCTGAAGCTAGGCATGTTCTTTCTGTTTCTATTCCATATTTTAAAAGAAGGAAAATATTCCTTTAAACAGGAACCTCTGTTTTGGCTTCTGATTTTCATACTTCTCAGGTCAATCCCTTTTTAGAGAATTGTTTGCAGCTATTTTTTTAACTAAATTCTTATCGAATGATGGCGTTGTGTACAGCCCAGGGTACACACAGACATAGTCATGACAGGGCTGCAGGAAAAGGGAAAGGAGAAAGCAGAGCTGGGCTTCAGATCACAGAATTCAGCGTATGCAGAGAAAATTGTCTGAAGTTCATTTGGCTGCTAATTTCCTGCAAGGAATCCTGTGCTTGCATTCCATAGATCAATCTCTGGTGGCTAATTTTGATTTTCCAGTCTTCCATTACCATGAGGTACATACTCACAAAAACAAGTGTGAGGTATGTACACAGTGGTGGTCTTCAGACATAGTACATTTACAGATGGCTTGGTTTTCCCCAGGACTATCGTTCCTTGGAAAAGCTTCCGGCAGGCCTTGCATGAAGTGCATCCGATCAGTTCAGGGCTGGAAGCCATGGCCCTGAAGTCAACGATTGACTTGACGTGCAATGACTACATTTCAGTATTTGAATTTGATATCTTCACACGACTATTTCAGGTAAGAATTGAGGAATGTGAACCACTTGAAATGCATCTCAGTTCTTCGAGTTAGACTCTTTTCCTGGGAAAAACTATATTTTACACACTAAGATGGCTTTATTTATCCTGTAAGGGGCTTTGTCATCTTGCCCTTCATCTCCTAAACAGCCCCAATACTTAGTACCCTATATGGCAGTGAAAGCATCTGATACTTCTGGTTGGAGAAAGAAAAGTTGTCTGAATATATACTGTAAGTATCCTCCCATGAATCAGTTTTTCCCTTGCAAAGGTCGCTTTTAGACTGAAGTTCTGACACAACTTCAGTAAGCCAGGAAATGCGAAGCTTAGTTTATCGGTCCTTCCTTGTCCTTCTCTTTCTTCTCAGATTTATTTTCCGTGGTGGGGGGTTGTTCAGGATGGAGCACAAGCAGGGAAATTTGGGCTTCCTAGCTTTTGAACTGACACAGCCAGGATGTTGTGGACATGTCTGTGTTCTGTGCACAAGCAATATCTGTGTTACTGAGGTGATACTAGTAGTAGGTAAAATTCTAAGCCGTGGTCTTTAATAGTGCTAAACTCAAAACCCCAGCTTCTGATGGTGAAACTGGGTATTTACAAGAACAAACACTTACTTCTTTGGCTCTGACTTGCCTTTTCCCATGTGATAGGGTGGGTTGTAATTAAGATACATCTTGATGAAAAATTCCCATGTTCGGTGTTGCAATGTAGCTGATCTCATTCAGTACTTTTTCCAAGGAGAGTCCATAAAGAGCCAGTTAAGAGCTGCTGTGATTTCCAAGAGATGGGAAGTTCTTAGGGAGAGCTAATATCCTCTCCCAGACAAGTTGGGAGATTTGGAAAAAATGGATGAGGCTTAGACACCCAAGCCCTTCTCAGGATTGAGAGCTTTCAAACTGTTGTTACGACTTCTTGTACATCATTTTAAGGCATATTTAGCATGTATGTCCTGGTTTATTTATTCAAATTTCAGACTAGCCAGTGATCGTTGCCACACCCAAGTGAGGTTAGGTGGTTAAAGAATAGTGACAAGCTTCTTACACACAGCGAAACTGAGACAGAGAGGGGAGGTCACTTTCCTGAGGTCATATAGGAAGTCGGTGTTAGAGATCAGACTACTCATGGTTTCTGGTCCTGTGCATAATCCTATTAAACTCCTGTCTTTATCCCTGTCTCAGGAATGAGTCATTTTCTCTGCTGAACTGGCACAAATTGATAGCTGTTCTTAAGCTGTCTTTTTGTGACCCCAGTGGCTTCTCCCTTGCCATTTATTAAAGGAGTTTTGATAAAGGTCTGGTTTAGGTGATGTTTTTATCACCAACAATAGAGAAACTCAAATACTAAGGCTGCTGCATGAGAATGTTGGTTTTTGTTCCTCTGCTGGGTTTATGCTGGGGTAAGAAACCTGCTTCTTTAACTGAAGAACCGATCCCTTTGGTTAAGGAATATTGTATGTGTTGGTACCTCTCAGAAGCACACGGTTAATATATTTCTTTGTTGTTTCTTTAGCCATGGTCCTCTTTGCTCAGGAACTGGAATAGCCTAGCGGTGACTCATCCCGGTTATATGGCATTCCTAACGTATGATGAGGTGAAGGCCCGGCTTCAGAAATTCATTCACAAACCTGGCAGGTTAGTGCTTGGCAGCAGTGGCTTTTTGGATCGTTCCTGCTAATATTGCTGATTACTGCACTGATGGGGGAGATTGGGTTTATTTTGTCGTTCTCCTCCTTCCTCAGAAATTTAGACTGTGAAAAACCCTAGCTTCCCCTTGATTTGGAAATTACCCTCTACGTGGTGACTTAACTCCTGCTCACCCTTAGAGTTGTCACAACTGCTCCCTCAGGCTTGAGTAGAACACAGAGGCAGACACTGCCAGAGTGAGCCTGAACGGTGGGCTGCTGAAGACCACGAGTAAGGAATGTGTCTGTTCATCCCATAACTTTCTGGTGCACACGCAGCAAACCAGGAGAGCTGAGTGGATTGCAGCCCCCAGAGTAGCGTGTACGTTTGAAGCAAACTCCAAGGCAGCTGACCAGAGTTTGTGCTGGCAGACAGCAGCGTGGTAGGCAGAGCAGGCTGCAGGGTAATGCTTCAGAGTGTCTGTGAGGCAGCACATGCTTCTGCCGGGGCCGTGGACCTGAGCAGTTTTGGCCTATGTAACGTCCTGGGTGGAACCTGGCCCGGAACAACGGGGCTAACAGATTTCTCTTTACGCAGGAAGGGCCAAGTCTTCATTTCTGGAGGTTGTTACTATATTGCTAGCTCTGTGCTGGTTTTAAAAACGGAAACCTTTTGTAGTCGGGTGGTTCTGTTGTTTGTTGAGTTTTTCTTAAAGTTAATTTGAAACAAATGATTTTAAGGTTGCTAACTTTTCTTGCTCTGAATTCTGGGTTTAATTTCACCTGGAGGCCAGTGCTTCGATGCTTTTCTCACTTTGTATCAGATTGCAAGGTTCTCCTTTGATCCGCCTGGAGGTAAATTGAGGAAAGCTGGTATAAATCGTCAAGTTATTCCTGCTAGTTTTTATTTGCTGTCTTGAGATAGCCAGACAAAGGCTGCCTACTTGACATTTAATCTTCTTTGTCTTTTCCAGTCCAAACTGAAGTTACTTTTCCTTTGTGTGTTTTTAGTTATATTTTCCGATTGAGTTGTACACGACTCGGTCAGTGGGCCATTGGCTACGTCACTGCAGATGGCAACATTCTTCAGACAATCCCTCACAACAAACCTCTTTTCCAGGCACTGATTGATGGCTTCAGGGAAGGCTTGTAAGTAATCTTATCAATATTGCGTTTTGACCTTTCATCCTTTTTCAAGGCGAGTTTGTTTTATAAATCTTAATCCTGTGGTGAGGTCTTAAAGTCAAGTGAATGGTAAAACGTACCCTCTGGGTTCATCACACGTTATCTGCTTCGCAGGAAAGGCAGCACGTTGCAGAGGTCAAGCAGTCACTGTCGACATCACTGAGCCCCTTTTGGATGTCTCAGCTCTTCATTTTTATTTAGACCTTAATTCAGCAAAACAGTTCAATCTCATGAATGGTCCCATTGATGCCAGTGGTATAAGTCATATACTTACTGTTTTGGCTACCCTTTGCACCCCAGAGCTGTAGTGTCCTTTGCAGTAGCAGACGATAAGTGTGTATCGGTGTTTCCCTTGCCATAGGTTCTTTTCCAGTCAAGTCCTTAATTTGAGCCCCTGCAACTTATACTGAGGCATCAGTTTGCTTTCTCTGGATATTACAGTTTCACTGGAGGATGATTTGAGTAATCTGAGACCTTAACATCGTATTTTAAATAAAAATTGCTGCCAGGAAGGAAGACATCTTGATTTTTAAGAATGACGTGTTTGGGTTTTGTCCAATAGCAAAATTTTTTCCAAACTGCCTTGAATTCTCACTCCTCACCCTCATTCGTTCTTTCCTCCACAATCCCCAGAAGAAACCTTACATATGTGTGTGTGTGTATGCACATATAGAGAGAGATCTTTTTTTTTCCCCAACTGCTTACAGTTATTTATTTCCCGATGGCCGGAATCAGAATCCTGACTTGACTGGCTTGTGTGAGCCCACGCCTCAGGACCACATTAAAGTTACACAGGTGAGCAAAGTGTTCTATCCCATCAAACTCGCTTGCTTTCTTCCTGATTTGTCGCCTCCTTAGCTGGTTTTACAATTCCGTCGTCCTTGGTATCCCCAAGGTTTGTTCTTAAGGCTGATGTATTTTACAGGAATGGCAGAAGTCGTGGAATGGTAGGAATGGGCAGAGGAGATTGCAAAGGTTAGGTAAAGCTTTATTCAGGGCTGACACGTTATAAGATTTTTCTTGTTAGAATGTTCTGCCAAACACTCATTCTACTGTGCCATCCAGCATGGCGTGAGCTGCTTTCCTGGGCTGTTCTGGAGACACCTGAATGACAGTCTTGGAAGCCTGCTTTTTTCAGAGCTTGACAGATGTATCTAATCTATAAAATTACAGTGAAATCTTTGCAGACTTCTTCTTTGCAGTGTGGCCTTGTGTTTGGAATTTCTGGTTTTTCCAGCCAGACCCTTGTGGTGGGGTTTCTTGTAGCTATGACTAACCATGCTTGTTATTTTACAGCATTGACCATGCCTGTCTATCTTTCCCCAAGGAACAATATGAACTGTACTGCGAGATGGGCTCCACGTTTCAGCTGTGTAAGATATGTGCTGAGAATGACAAAGATGTGAAGATCGAACCATGCGGCCACCTGATGTGCACGTCCTGTCTCACTGCATGGCAGGTGAGCCACTGCCTCTTGTTAATCTCTGAGAGAAGCTCGTTGCTCTTTTACAGAAGAATTCGCTTCTCAAAACTGTTCAGTTCCCTTCAGATGTGGAGGTAAGAGAGGACATGAGCTCATACTTCAGTAATATCGGTGCACCAGCGCAGGCTTCAGCACAGGGAGAAGATGTTTAGCTGCCTGATCTCTTCATCTAGGAATACACAAGAAGTGTGAGGACTTGCTTAAAAGCTGTTATTCTACTTCAGAGGGAAAAGGCTCCCCATAATTTGTAGCACAGTTTGCCTTTCTGTCTTCCTCTCAGTTGAAAGGTACCTGTTGAAAAGCAGGTTTAAACCTCTTCCTAGAGTAACTCTGTGTTTAATTTCTGCATCATGGTGGCTGTTGTAACAGATCTGTTCTCTTCCCTGAAGGAATCAGAAGGCCAGGGTTGTCCTTTTTGCCGCTGTGAAATCAAAGGCACGGAACCAATTGTGGTAGACCCATTCGACCCCAGAGGAGGAGGAGGATTATCACGACAAGGGGCGGAAGGAACTCCCTCACCCAATTATGATGATGATGATGACGACAGAGCTGATGATTCCCTTTTCATGATGAAAGAACTTGCCGGTACCAAAGTAAGGTTGCCAGCGTGTGTGGTAGTAGATGTGGCTGTATGTACAAAGACTGCGTGATCTCCATCGGTGTTCTCTGGACTTAGGAATTGGTGCCTGTGGGGGTTGTCAGGCCGTATAGCAGGAAAGATGTTACTCAGTATGGAAACCAGGGATTTAGGTTCAGTTTAAACTGTCAGTTCTATGGAGCAATGGTGATCACACTTTGAAATCTTTGCTCTCTTGTGGGTTGTCTTGAAAGAATCCTTAGAAGGGTGAAAAGGCTGGCTTGACCTGCTGGAATGTCAGATCTAGGTTTATAACGCTTCTCTGCATGCTTAGCAATGCTGCTTTGGATTTATTAGCCATAGTTCACCCACATCAGCAAAAATAAATCCGTTTTCCCTGGTGATGAATACTGCCAACCAGGTACAGTCTTCCCAAGGTCCTGATGACTAATTGGATAGAGGGCAGGCTGTTCTGCTGAGGAAGACAGTTTGACTGTCATCTTTTTTATCTGGTGTCTGATAAGTTTGGCTAATAAAGGTGTGATAACTCTCTGCCATTAGCACTACTTCCTGCCAGGAGATGTGTGCAAGACAGGCATTCTTTGTGGATCCCTCCATGTTTTTTCCTAAAAGCTCATTGCTGTTTTTGCACATCTACACTTAGCACTGTTTTACTGCATAGGGAAGTGACTAATTTTTGATAGTTGAATTCACTAAAATAAGCTGTCTTTCGTGGTGAGAAAGAATACTCCACGCTGGTTTACCTGTGGTTGTGTTCCTCTTGGGCTTCCACCCGGTGAAACAGTGTGCTAAACAGGACACTGTATTCCTAGAGGTGGTTTTTGTTGACATAGCTTGGGGAAGCCAAGCAATTTCCTCCCTGTGACATCCTGTCCTGGTTTGCAGTATTTTGTACTAGTTGGCACGTGCAAACCTCTGTAAAGCTTTTCAAAGTTAGAAAGCACTAGCGTTGCTTGTAAAACAAACGACGAAAAAGAGAAGAACAGACGTTGTTGTGGTTTGTTGGATGGAAAACCAGCCTTCCAGGGTCGAAAATGGAGCTTTCGGTGATCACCAGTGGTTGTGGCAACAGCCAAGACACGGTAGTCGAGGTAGTTTGCACAGTGGGGCCTGCAGTGGTAAGTAGGTTTTGCAGCAGATCATGCCCTCTTGTGTCGAAAAGAGGAGAAGCTTGCTCCTGCTCAGGGCCCAGTGAGGCAAGTCCGTCACTCCAGCAAAACAGCTTGTCTTTTACTGTGCCGTGGGTAAGTGTGCACTGTCACTTGTGTGCCACAGCAAGCCCGTTGGTGATCCTCAAGACTTGCAGCAAGTCGGATGCTGTTGTGCTGTGAATTAACTAACACAGTAATTCGTTACCAATAGCGATACTGAAGCCTGTACAAGTTACAGAGCTTGAAAGCCTCTCTAGAGAGAAGATGTTCTACTGGATTTTGTCATTTGTTGATTTTCCCATTCTTTTCTTTTTCAGGTTGAGCGTCCTCCTTCTCCGTTCTCAGTAGCTCCACAGGCCACCCTTCCTCCCGTGCCGCCACGACTGGATCTTTTGCAGCAGCGAGTGTCCAATCCGCCTGGGGCTTCCAGTCCTGGGACCACTTCAAAGGTCAGACACACTCTTTGCCCTCTCAGCTGTGATTTTGGTGGGGCAGGCAGGACATTCTGGTGAATCCCAAATGTTCTCTGTGACATCTCTAAGTACTTTAATGCAAGACTTCTTCCACTTGTCCTGTTAGGCCACTTTCCTTCCATTCCCCACAAGAGCCTAGAGTGTCCTGAAAGCAAATGCTTCCTTCTGGAATCGATGGTAGGAGAGTCTTGTTGTGCTGTTTAAATGGCCTGTCTTTTCTTCACAGTCACCCATGTCATTGCTAGAATGATGCTGGTCCTGAGCTGAGGTACTTTCTCACTTAGGGTGACTGGTGTCCGCCTGTTGAACTGCCAGGTTCATACCAGTATCTTCATGTTTTTACAGCCTCAGGCACTGCTGCTTGTGCCCTTCGGAGCCTCATTTATGGGCTGGTGGTGTTGCTCTAGCTCGCCAGCTAGATGTGGGATGGTGTCATATTCCTGTCCCACTTTTTCTTTTCTTCACGATCTTTCCATCAAGCATTTTTTTCAGACAGAAAACTAAGACAGGAATGAAATCTGGGAGAGTTTAACTTGTTTTCTGATTGACTGGCAGAAGGCAGGGATGTGATCTTGGTGGCATTTGGTCATTGGCTGTTGAGATAGGCAGCAGTTCTTCAGCTGGTTTGGATGAAGTGATGAAGTCCTAGAATCACAGAATGGATTGGGTTGGAAGGGACCTTAAAGACCATCCAGTTCCAACCCTCCTGCCAGGGGCAGGGACACCTTCCACTAGACCAGGTTGCTCAAAGCCTCATCCAGCCTGGTCTTGGACACTTCCAGGGATGGGGCATCCACAGTTTCTCTGGGCAACCTGTCCCAGTGCCTCACCACCCTCTCTCCGTGAAGAACTTCTTCCTGACATCCAATCTAAACCTCCCCACTTTCAATTTAAACCCATTACCCCTTGTCCTGTCACTACAGGCCCTCGTAAAAAGTCCCCCCCCAGCTTCCTTGTAGCCCCTTCAGGTACTCGAAGGTGCAATAAGGTCTCCCCGGAGCCTTCTCTTCTCCAAGCCCAACTCTCTCAGCCTCTCCCCATAGCAGAGGGGCTCCAGCCCTCTGAGCATCTCCGTGGCCTCCTCTGGACTCGCTCCAACCGGTGTATACCCAAATTATGCTTGAAAGTTCAGGCAGCAGACGGTGACCCTTTCTATGAATAGTCATTGCTGACTGATGGAAGTTAACGTGTGCAAATAACCCACGATTTAATCATTTTCTTAAACGATGGGTATCCGTGGGTGGGAATCCAGTCTAATGCTGCTGTAAGCCCTTTGTACTTCCTTCAAGAAAAAGCATCTGTTGTGCTCAGTGCTTAGTTGTAGCTGCACGTAGCCACTGTGTTGTCTCTCCAGTCCTGTAGAGAAGGTGTCTTCTGCGGGGTTGACTTGTGGAGATGGGGAAAGTTACGTCCACATCCTTTGAGATAATTTCTTTTGAGATAACGAAAGCTAAAACTCACCCTTTGGCCTCCCTCCTTTTTATGTTTGGTGGCTGGACTGCCTTTGTTAAGCAGTATTTTACTTTCTTCTGCCTTTCAGGCTGTACCTGGTGCTCTTCACAAGGATAAACCTTTGCCGATCCCACCCACGCTCAGAGACCTCCCGCCGCCGCCACCTCCAGACAGGCCACATTCCATTGGGACTGAAGGTCGACCTCAGAGACGTCCCCTGCCCTGCACACCAGGAGACTGTCCTTCGAGAGACAAACCACCCCCTGTGCCCTCCAACCGTCAGGCAGAGCTGTGGCCATCCAGGCCAATTCCAAAAGCCCCAGCTGTAGCTCTCAGCCCTAGTGACCCTTGGGCTGGGAGAGAACTGTCAAACAGGCACTCGCTGCCCTTTTCCTTGCCCTCTCAGGTGGACTCCAGGGCTGACAGCCATCGGCTCGGGAGCACGCTCAGCCTGGATAACCCAGGGGTGAGTAGGCCTATCGGAGGTGAAGGTATTAAGTCTTCCAAGGTGCCTTCTTCCCAGAGTTTACCTCTGAACAGGGCCATCTTGTGTTGAGGAGAGACGGAAGGGAACTGGTGAATGCCTGGCAAGGGACAATAATGGGAGGACTGGATCTGGAGGAGGAATGGGAGTAATGGATCTGTTACTATTCCCGATGTCATGATGTGTAACAGTAGTTCAACGGACTGTTTTCTAAAAGAAATCCTAAGCAGTTTTTCTTTCTGTGATTGTATTCCCCTAATTTTTCCTTTCAAAACCTCCAGCTTTCTGAAGTTGAAAGCAAGCACATTTTTAGCCAGCTTGTCTAAGAAAGTGACACTTGCACAGTTGTCATCCTGTCTCCATACGTGCATGCTCGCCTGCATCCTTTTCCTTTTATCCTGCATTTTGACCTATTTCAGCTGAATTTGCCAAAGCCAGTGGAGTCTCAAAAGATAGGAAATTCCTGCAGTTTTTGTGTAAACAAGCAGTTGGCCACGGGAGAAGAACCCTGCTTGTGCCCTTACCGGGGGGAAACTTTCACAGAACTACTGGGTGTCTGAAGTGTCAGTAAATGCTTTGGAATAAGTGGAGATGCTTCATTTCCCCAGAGGATGTGTTGAATGGCTGGCTGACAGCTTTGCAATGACACCGGTATATGTAGTGTTTCTGATTCCTGGGTTGGGATTTTTTTCTTTCAGAGCTTGAACAGTGGTCCACCAACAACCTCAGAGTGTGAACACCCCAAAATTAAAGCCTCCTCATCTGCCAACGCGATCTACTCCTTAGCTGCCAGGTCTGTTGTTTTCCAGTTACAAAAATGCCCTTTTGTAACTTAGTGAATGGGAATCATAGAGCCCTCTCCACGCTGGTGCCAGGGAGGGGTGTGACACAACTCTGTCAGCCTTAGTGTCAGTCTCTGACACATTCAGTTTACACAATTCAGAGCAAGTAGATGAAATCAGCATCCCAGAGATCTGTGGGGAGTGGTGGTAGTTACACCTGGTTGTGGCACTAGGAAACAGGCTACGGTTGCCATTAGGTCTTTTATGAAGTCGCCTGTGGGTTGGTCTTTATGTGAAGCAGGCGATGTGTAGCCTGTATGTTACTGTCAACTTCCCCTTGCATAACGACCGTGTGCCAACCGCAGCTGGACTGCCGGGAATCCTGAAAGCCAGGTTCTTTCTGTAGGCAGAGGTGCTGTGAGATGGCTGCTTGTTACTTAGGCTGTGGATTTTAAAGGCTGCTTAGATATTCATTAGGTTTGGCTTAAATGCTTTTCTAATGTTTCTGTCTTGTTTCTTCTGCCTCCAGACCACTGCCTGTACCAAAACTGCCTCCTGGGGAACAGTCTGAAAGCGATGAAGACACTGAATACATGTCACCATCCTCTCTGCCTGTGGTGCCTCCAGGTCCTGCTGTACAAAAAACAGAGATCAAAATGCCTTTGGAAATGACTCAGAGTTTACGGTGAGATTCTGTTTGCTCCTGTGCTTCCTCCTCACAGCTCTGGGAAAGCGGATTTCTGTCCTAGGGTGGAGATTTTGCTTGCTTGCTTTGCTGAATTTCCCCGGTGATACCAGATCTAGAGCAACATAGCTAACTGTAAATGAAGGGGGACTACTGCTCTTCTGCAGAGTCCTTGTATAGTATTAAAGGAGTCCAGTAACTCCTCCTCACTAGGGTGGAGATTTTGCTTGCTTGCTTTGCTGAATTTCCCCAGTGATATTCACCAGATCTAGAGCAACATAGCTAACTGTAAATGAAGGGGGACTACTGCTCTTCTGCAGAGTCCTTGTATAGTATTAAAGGAGTCCAGTAACGCCTCCTCCCTCTTTCTGCTGGTAATCCATGGAGAGCAACGGCAACTGAAATCCAAAATTCTATTGAAAGGTTGTGTTCTGGTGGTATCAGTTAAACTCTTTTAAGCTGATACGCTGCATTGCAGTAGACATTACTGGAGCATTTTCTGGAACAAAGAGTCTTTCACAGAACGGTGGTGATTTCACTTAAAAGCAGGGATGTGTGCAGAATCTCAGGCACAGCGACTGGGGGTGATTGGCCACTGGCGCTGGTCTGAAGGGAAATATGTGTTCTCTCCCTCAGAGTTTCAGACTGCGACCCGCAGACGGATGGCTGTATGTATGAAGCAATGTACAACATTCACTCCCAAGCAGCACCCTCTGCTTTCGAGGCCGTCAGCACTTCTGGTGAGCGTGCTAAAAAAACAACTGAGAAACTGGGGTACAAAGAATTGGTCCTGGTCCCAGCTGAAACAGCATTTTAGGCTAAATTAAATGTTACTTGCTTCCTCTGTTGAAAACAGCTTGGCTGTGTGTTGGAAACGTCTGGGTCTGTGTACTGCAGACTGCATGTGGGGCTGTTGAGAAGCCTGGTTGGAATGCACTGTAAAAATACTCAAGATTTGTTAAAAAAATTACTGTTTTGAAGATGATTTTTTTCCTAGGCAGCAACTGTCAGCCCACATCTATCATACTACCTTCTAGAAAGAGCTTCCCTTGAATGTGGGGCGTTGGCAACAAAACCTTAGTTCTGTGTCCTGTCTGTGTTTGTGGGCTATGGGGAACAGGGACTGCCTTGAGAGGCAGAGGCTCTGTCCAGTCCCAGAGCTCAGAATGTGCCTCTTATTCTAGATGAAGGGGATCTGGCAGCAGCTACTGCCAGCAATGGCCCTGAAGAGTCAGAAAATGAAGAGGATGGCTATGATATCCCCAAACCACCGCTCCCAGTTGCTATTGCTCGTCGCACACTGTCCGATATCTCCAATGCCACACCTGCCTTCAGCCGAATGTCTTTGGAGAACGATCCTGTAACAGGTTAGAGAACACACATGCTCTTCATGTCGTAGTGGATACTGATTGCTTGCTTTGCGTGTTTGACACTTCTGTTGCTGGGTCAGAGTTTTAGATGTAAGCTGTAAAGTCAGGTGTATGTGGCAGAATTCATAGATTCACAGAATGGTTTGGGTTGGAAGGGACCTTAAAGATCATCTAGTTCCAGCCCCCCGTGGCAACCTTCCACTACATCAGGTTGCTCAAAGCCCCACCCAACGTGGCCTTGAACACTCCAGGGATGAGGCATCCACAGCTTCTCTGAGCAATCTGTTCCACTGCCTTCCCACCCTCTCCGTGAAAGATGCCTTCCTGATGTCCACTCCCAATCTCCCTCTCTCAGTTTAACCCATTACCCCTTGTCCTGTCACTCTTTGCCCCTGTAAAAAGTCACCCTCCAGCACTGTGGTAGCCCCTTCAGGTACTGGAAGGCTGCTGTACCTGGAGGGGGCCTACAAGAGTGCTGGATTACGCTGGTTCTTCCGTGTTCGGTTTGGCTTGGAATAGCTTGGAATGCACTGTCTTGGTCATTTAATTGCTGGTCTATCAAACCACGTTTACATCACCGTTAGGAAAACCTTTCCTCAGCTTGAAGGATATTCCCTTAAGCCACTGCTTCCTTCAGGGCACGGCATACCTTTGGTACCAGGGCGGATCAGGGCGTGAAACAGCTTCAGAACGTTAGTGCTCGTCACTGCTCCAGGTCAGAGGTGACACGGCCGGCCTTGCCCAGCTCTCGGCCCGGTTGTTGCCAGCAGATGGCACAAGTGTACTGTTTGATGCTGTCACTCCCGTTGAGCGGGGACCGGTGGCTCGGCAAGGTCAGCTTTTTGTCCTTGAGGGGTAGAGGACATCTTGTCCTTCTGGCTGCAAGGCTCGTTCTCTGAGGGAAAAACTAAAGCCTCATCTCTCCAAGAGCCTTTCTGAATAATGCTTGACTTCTTCCCTACAACTGCCCCGCTGCTCTAGAGGAAGCCCTGAAACGGTTCTGTTGGGGGGCTTGCAGCATGTCTGAGCACCCTGCTGATGTGCCAGGTGAGAGGAGTGAGTTTCTGGTTCCTTCTGGAGGCAGGTGGGAGGCAGAGCCTCCTGTACACAGGACAGCTTGCCCCAGTGAGCCTTCCATTCACCTGCTTCACCACTTCCCCTTCCCTGAGCTTGCCCTTCTTCAGTGCAGCGAAGAGTTGACTAGTGCAGGCAGGTTCTTAGCTCCGGCCACTCCTCCCTGCCTCACACTCAAAGTCAGTCACCGTGTCTGTAGAATGCGGCCATCAGGGCATAAGAAGGGGCAGAGAGAGCTCACCTCCTGCTCCCAGATGAAGCTTGATCATTGGCCCTTCTTTGTCTTCACAGCCCTGAAATAACAGTGCTATTGTCCTGCTTTGTAGTGTTAGGAGATCTGCTAAGGGAAAACGCTGGTTCTTACTGGGAAGCATAATGCATTTTTCTGAAACACTGGCTATTGGCTACTGCCAAAGCCTGGTGTTAAGCAAGCCTGAGTAATATGGGATACATTTTGGCAGACTTACGTTCTCATGCATCGTGCCCTACAGTTTAATTCCTTAATCATTTAGGAAAAAAAGCTGTGCTAGTAGTTGCCCTTTCAAATTGACCTGTGGTCTCTGAAACTGCATCCAGTTCAAGCTGAAACAGCTATTTCAAAAGGCAATTTGGGGGAAAGAAGTGGCCAGTCCTTTCTCTCAAATGTACAAAAAGCTTTTTATGTGTAGGGAGCTTCTGCTTTGAAGGACAGGGAGTTGAACTGCATTGTGGTTGGTGAGGAAGCTTCAATGAATTTGTTTCCTGAAGAGCCCCCTCTATCTTGGTGCTTTTGGTACAGATTTGTCAGAAAGGCTTCACAATGACTGCTTCTTTTATGACCAGTGCTGCAGTGCCCACTCTTAACAAGGGATTGCTTGGACATTCTTAGTCTCACGGATTTGTCTGTTCTACACCAGTTCTACTGCTAGAAAACTCTTGAGTGCCTTGAGGAGTTTGTGGGCAGGCGCCCACCACAGCCGCTCTCTCACTCCCCTCCTCAGCTGGGCAGGGGAGAGAAAATATAACAAAAAGCTTGTGGGTTGAGATAAGGAGAGATTGAGAGAGAGGTCATTCACCGATTACTGTCATGGTCAAAACAGGCTCAGCTTTGGGAAAAAAACTACATCATTTATCACCAAACAAAATTAGAGTAAAAAGAGAACTAAAATCAAATCTTACTACACCTTCTCTCCACCCCTCCCTTTTTTTCTGGGCTCAAATTCACTCCCACCACTCTCTACCTCTTCCCTACCCCGAGCGGTGCAGGGGGTCAGGGACTGGGGCTGTGGTCAGTCCGTCACACGTCTCTGCTGCTGAGAGGGGGGACTTCTTATGCTCTGCTCCTGCTCCCGCCTGCGGTCCCTCGCACGGGAGACAGTCCTCCA